AAAATATAACCAGGAAGGCTTGCAGATCTGTTTCATTTGGACCTTGCAGTGTTCACTTTAAGAGTCTTGTTTGTTTAGTTGATATGGTCACTGATATTTTAAAACACAAATTCTGTCAAGGCACCCGTTGGCTGTTACTGAGGAAAAGGTAGGCTCTGCATCCCAGTTCATCATCACTCTTGTCTCTCCATTTTTCCTCTTCATTACTGAGGTCGTTTGTCCTTAAACATTTATCAACACACAATTATTTTTCTTGTGGTAGAATCAGAAAAAAAGTCAAATATTTCTTCTAATTGTGTCTATTAAAATGAAAAATCTGGTGATAGAAACAAATTCATGTTTTAAAAATAACAGTTCAGGGTGCGGGAAGATCCCCTAAAGTAATAATTTTAAAAAGGAGCCACAAACAACCACGCAATCCATTCACTAGGGTTGAGGCATCACTGTAGACTTTGACTTCAGCATCCACACTTGGGTATATCCAAATTACAGCTATTTTCAAAAGATAATTCTATCATCTGGAACCCCCTCGGATTGCTTCTTTTATCTTTTTTATTTAAAAATATTACCACAGGAAGGACACCAAGAAAGAAAAAAAAATAGTGCTCTGGATAGGGCTCAATCTACTTAATTGTAAGTATTAGAATATATGTGATCTTATTTTCTTTCCCAACTTAATGCAATGATACACACATACACAGTTTTTCATTCAAAAGATTTTTTTTGTTGGAACTGGAAAAATAATGTAATATTTACAGTAAAATATCAAACTATTTGTGTATTATAATACTCATAATTTTAAATTCCATTTTAATACTCTTAAAATTTCTAAAATTTTTTCAATGAAGTCCTTGTTCATATACATAATATACATGCATTGCAAACATTCATGCACCATTTTTATATTTTATTTTTAACTTACTATTTTATCAGCTAGACTATCCAGAACCAAGTGATAAACTAGAAATGTCAAAATGTGTAAAATATAATTCCTGCCCCCACAAAATTCTCATTTAAGTTGGAAAACAGATGTATAGGCTTTAAAAGATGAGGCTTTCAATAACAGTTATTTTGTGTAGGGAAACAGTGTAGAGATGAGAGTAAGTTACACCAAGTGTGGGTGTGGGATGGGTAGGAATCTCAGTAGACTTTCTTCAGAGGGGATCCATGAACACCGTGGAGTTAATTTTAAAGTTATATGGCCCTGCATACAAAAATATAACAGAACATCAATTAACCTCTAGAAGGGGATTAGTTTTATCATATCTACTTCAAATAAATGGATTCTATTGTTGCGTATGGTTACTACAAGTCTGCCAGAAATTGCAATACAATTTGGTTTTAAAAGCTTAACAAGAACCCTAAGCTTACGTCAAAAATAAAGTGAGTGAGACTATTCAAGAACAAAATCTCAAATGAAGAGTTACTAGGAAGTTTAGTTGAATTGTTGCCTTCTTATTCAGCATTCAATCCAGGTTTAAGCCTTTCAGCATCTGATTTTCTCCTAGCAACTATAATTGAATTAATGATGACTCATCTGAGATGAGCAAGTTGGTCCAGTCAGACCAAACAAAAGATTCTATAATCAGGGAGAAGCCTTCTCTATATCTCTCTTATATAAGCAAATAAGAATTATTATTATTGCTTTGTGGTTTTGAAAATTGTGGCCAAATATATATAAAATTTACCATCATAACCATTTTTAAGTGTTGTGTTCAGTAGTGTTACGTACATTCTCACTGACACGCAGGGGATCTCCAGAACTCTTTTCATCCTGCAAAAACTGAAATTCTACACCAGTTAAACAACTCACATTCTATGTCTTATAGTTCTGGAAATATCAAAAGGCTTCTAGTTTTATTTATAAAATTTCCTTTATTTATCTACAGCAATAATATGACCTTACAAAGGGACCCATGACATCTTTTTAATTTTGCACAAGCACTGCAGCAAGGTTAATCCTGTATGTGAAAACTTCTGAGCAACTGTCTCAGTCTACATGTTATATAACCTGCTGAGTTTTCTGACATTGTAATACTAGATACAAGATGTCTGAATAACTCCTTACATTTATAAATTCTTCTATAGCTTTAATAAGGTCCATCATTTTTAATAAAAATATTGGCTACAAGAATAGTGATCATATTGTTTAGCATATGATTTACCATTTATAAAGCAACAAATTTTCCAATAAGAATTAAACTGTAGTTACAGCATCTGAAATTATTAGAAAATTATATTAGCATGGAAATATGTTCATGATATATCACTGAGTGAAAAAATCTGGCCACCAAATATGTAGTCTGATCTTGTTTTTATTTCAAATAAAAAATGTGTATTTTTGAAAATATGCACATTACTGTTTGTACTTTATATATATTATATACATTATATATATATATGCATACATATTTGTATATATACACAGTTAGTACAGGAGAGAGACAGAGTGGAAGACAGAAAAAGGAGGGAGGAACTATTCCTTTTTTCTCAGATTAATTTCAGCTACAGGGGAAAGTACACTAGAAACTAATTAATGGGAAGAGTACAAAATAATACGCTAGTTATAATTATCTTTGGGAGATGAGAACTGGGAACATGGGTGACTTTTGCTTATTTGCATTTTCTAATTATTTAATAATTATATTATCTATCTCTGTAATTTGTATAGTAAAACATCAGTTATATATCCAAATTTTTAGTCATTTATAATAAAAGGTATATTAGCATAACATGATTATTTCATCCTTAGTCCACAAATAAAACTCACATCACATTTCCTAACACTGTGGCCATTTCAGAACACAGTCAATAAATAGTATCACCCAATAAAATAAATCTTGAATGGTTGACTTTGATACATTAAGCATTATCTGAAAACATGCTATCAAAAAGCAGACACTAAATATATCTTTTTAATAATTCTAAAAACATCCTAAATTCAATACCAAGAATTTTGCCTATCCAAGTTAACATTATACAATTACATGTAATATACATATTCAAAATGGCAGAATCACATACAATTTTAAAGTAAAAATAACTCAGAGAAGCTACAGTTTAACATTTACACAGCAATTTATTATTCTATTAGCCACTGTAAACAGAAACTAGGAAAGTTGGTATCTTTGTTTTTTGTAAAAGGAGGCATATGGGTTTAAATATCTTTTTCTATAGCACTATTGAAACTGGAGTCAAGATTAAATTAGGGAAATCTAAGTTTCTTTTGCTATTTTACTCTTGAGAATGACTATGACATGTTAACATGTAATTCCCCCTATTTTATGAAATTCCTTTTCTTTATTGTATCTTAGTCTATGACACAGGATTTAAGAAACTTCATTATTTCCCTACACTTTAAATGATAGTGTAGGTACCCAAATAGCTTTTATCTGGTGGACAGTTATAAAGACGGCAGTGGAAGAATAAGGAAATAAAAAAGAGGACAAAAATCAACTAAATTAATAATAACCACAGTTCAAAAGTTAGTGTGAAAGTTTTATCAATATCATAATTGTGGAATGATGAGCAGAACACAACTGGGACACCTTATACTGAGATCTAACTCTAGATGTGCTACAGTTAGTACAGAGTTGTATGAAATTGGACAAGTTAAAAGTACTTGACAATCAATTTCTTCAAATTACAAATAAAACAGTTTAGGCCAGGTTTATTAAAGTATTAAAATCCCTTTCAGAGGCACAGTTCTATAACTCTGAGGAATATAATAGCTAACTACTGTCTAGTACTGCTTTGGCAACAGTGAAAATATCAGTTTCAATATAACTTTAAATAATAAATGAAGTAACATTTTTGAAATATGAGGCAAACACAAACCATTGGAATATTTTTATCTCATAAATAGTTATTTTTTTCATTAAGAAAACTTTAACCTCTTGATCTAAAATGCCATATTGCATCTTTTAAGTTACTTAGCATTACCACTTTCCTCGTTATTATGAAACTTAAATTCTGTATACTACTTTCCTTTTTAGTATTAATATTTAAATTTACCCACAAATATGCTAAGGGAATGTGTTTTAAGTAATGTTTTAAAAATTCATAAAATTTCTGTTTTCTTTACTTTGAAATCTCTGCATTCTCAAGTGATCAATGTAATTTATAAAACTGGAAGTTTTATATGAAAGTCCATATACTTTTAATGTCCTTAATTTGAATTAAACATTCCCTCATAATATAAATTAAGGTAAACCTAATGAGTAAATATCTATATTGACATGATATACTTTCTAAGGAAATATGGGGAAATCATACCTTTTAAATAGACGACTACCAAGCTTGATTCTCTCCCTTGAATCTTAGAAAGTAAACAATAGTACTATATTTTCACCCAACTCCCCAAACTCAGCTTTATTTCTGCTAGAAGAGGTGATTTTATTCAATTTCAGTACAGGCTGCTGTAAAAGGGAAATAAAATATTCTTTATCATAGTAAGACCAAAAAAACCCAACCATTCGAATGACTTGTTGGGTCTATGCAAACACCTCATTCTACCTCAGAAGCAATCCTAAGAAATTAATACTTAGCTTTCTTTTCAGGAAGGCCCTAACATAAGGCATCTCTATTTATTTATTTATTTATTTATTTATTTATTTTTTATTTATTTGAGCGACACAGCCTGAAACTGGCCAACAAGGGAGAGATTTCTTCTTGCTAAAGCGTGCAATGTCAAATAATCATTATCGACCCTATCTATGTTAATATTCTCACATTCATGAAATGGGGAAATATAGAGCTTATGGTAGTAAATCGATGATGACAACAATGAACATATAAGTCCTTAGTATATGTCAAATACTTTACATTAATTCAATTCTCATAACAACCTAAGAGGTAATAACGGTTAGCCACTAAATATGACAATGTAGAAGAAAATAATTGGAAAGTAAATCATTAATGTAAAATCTATAACATACACATTCATGATCTCACATCCCCAAAGGTAGCTGTACCTTTTTCAATTTTTCCTTTTACTTCCCTGAAGTTTGCAAATATCTTTTTAGGTCTAAACAGCTAATACAATAAACACTTAATCTATTTTGGCAGGCACTGTGTTTGATACTATGGGGGTTACAGAAATGAGTAAGAGATGCCCTAAATTCCATGCTGATACTACAGATTGCTGATAACTAGTTCAATTTCATAAAGTATTATACTTCTGGCCATATAAAAAGACTTCTAGTTTTATCTATGAAATTTCTCTTAATTGTCTATGGTACTGATACAATCTTACAAAGCCGTTTATGACATCTTTCTTGTCTTGTGCATGCACTGCAGCAAGAAGGCTGATGCTCAGTGTGTGGAACGTCTGGAGTGACCATCTCAAAGCCTTTGTCACATAACGTGCTGAGTTTTCTGATATTCTGATAGTAGGTATAAGATGTCTAAGTAACTCCTTAAATCTTACGAATTTTTTATTCCATTTTATAGATTTAATGACACCCACTATCTCTAACAACAAAACAGCTATCTCGGTAGAGAAAGATCATCTCTGGATAACAGTACCTGATTTTAGGCTCTAAATGTTAAAACGTGTTTGTGACGTTGATAATACGCAGAGGTCTTGACTGAACTTAGCAGTCTCTGAGGCCACACAGAAGTGTGAAAAAGAGCACAGGGATTCCAGAAAGAAGCAGATTCAGTAAGAGAGACTGAATCCTGTTTGATCCCAATTCAGGCATACTCCAAATGGAATGGCAAGTTACTTGATTTATCTGAGTGTCACTATTTTTATCTGTAAGGTGAAGCTAATAACACCTACCCTGAAAAGTTGGTAGAAAGATGTTAAATACATTTGTAAAGATCCAGTATATATTATATATTAGATTCTCAATAAATAGTAACTGTGTATTCTTATCTATCATCTCTGCATTGCATTATTGACTAATGCTGCATTTCAACTCCAAGAGCATACACTTGGTCTATGTTAAACTAGATGACCAGGTCAAGTATGAGACCAATTAATACAAGAACATGCAGAGATCACATAAATAAACAAATAAACGTTTTGTGGGCATTGTCAACATATTTACCTTCCCATACAGCTGTCTTCTGAATATAAGCTATAAAACTGGACTAGCTAAGAATACAATAATTGCCTAAATCACCTTTATGGCTTTAGTCTGGAAAATAATTATAGTGATAATAACCTTGAACTCCTGTGGAATTTCCATAATACATAAGTATGTCACTTCTGTGACATTAATGTCTTTTTGTGTCACTGAAATAATAAAGTGAGGTAGAATTCAGAAAGAAAAATTTCAGAGGTGGACTCATTATAGTGCCAACGATTGTCACATGAGCCTGGAACAGATAAAGTATACTCATATTAAAACATAAGGCAAAGTTCCTAAATAAAAAGCTTTGATGATTACAGTTCTGCTGAACTACTGCCTCAGCTGATCAAAATTCTAACTTGTACAGTACAAATGTAACTGCTTTGAGCTAAACATCAGTTTCAGAAAGAATACTACATGCATACTTCCTAGCGACCACTCATTTCAAAACCTGAATCTAGATTCACAATCATCCACAAACGGAATCATTTCTATCATTATGGTACCTAAATGGTTTCCTTTTTATTACTGGAATTAAATATACTTAAATAACATACAGAGCTTAGTGAAAAAGATCATGAATCATTCCACTATAAGAATTATCAGGACATGATTAAACTTTGTATCTTAATGGTAAAAGCAATCTGATTATTAGGTCTTCATTTGAGTCAGTTTTTCTACAGTTCAAAAAATGCTTTCACTGATTACACTCCAAAATATCTCTTTGTCAGCAGAAGTGCCTGGCATTTAAGTAAAATACATTCCTCTAACTATAAATAATTGAATGGTTTTAAATCTGTGGCTAATATTGGCAAATCGATAAATTACTAAATAATGTAAGAACTAGAATTATCAAAATCCTTTCGCAAACACGGTTCTGCTTGGAGGGCTCCACGGAGGAAGTGCCTCACTTTCAAGAAAGGAATGACGTTTCTTTTGTTTTCGTTCAATTCTTTCCTGCCTTTCCTTATTTTCCTAAAGAGAAAATAGAACACTATAAATTTATGTACATATATGAATATTATTTTCAAATAAGGTTGCTTGCTGAAAAACAAAATAATCCATTAGAAGATATTTATGTATCACTTCCTAGTTTGACAGGTCATAAAGAAATAATAGGTATGGGTCGGGCATTGTGGCTTATGTCTGTAAGCCCAGTACTTTAGGAGGCTGAGGTAGGTAGATCACTTGAGCCTAGGAGTTCAAGACCAGCCTGGGAAACATGGTGAGACATCATCTCTACAAAATAATACAAAAATTAGGCAGGTTTGGTGGCGTGTGCCTATAGTCTCAGCTACTTGGAAGTCTGAGGTGGGAAGATTGCTTGAGCCCAGGAGGTGGAGGTTGCAGTGAGCCAAGATCACACCACTGCACTCCAGCGTGGGCAATAGAGTAAGACTCTGCCTCAAAAAAAAAAAAAAAAAAAAAAAAAAAGGAAACAAGCTAGGAAATATTGCTAATTTGTTGCTAATTTGTAAGTACATCAATAGGTATTAATATCCCCTAATTTTTAAACTTTAAAAGTGAAAGTATTAAAAAATAATTGCATAAAATAGAAAAAAGACCTACAATTATAGCTCAAAGATAATACCTATTATAAGTTGGTGATGACTTTGTGAGAACAGATTCTCAGAAATAAATTTCCTGGGTGCAAAGTTTCAAGATGTCATGACAGTATGAGATACTTCATATTTTTTACAAATAGTTAAAAATTCTGCCTCATGTTTCCTTGTTTATTATTGAGCTTGAGCCCATTTTCAAACATTTCTTAGCCTTTTGTAAATTTTCTGCTCAATTATTTGGCCCATTTAAATGTATGGTACCAGTGCCTTTACTTTTTAGCAATTTGTGCATTTTCATATACTAAATATTAATGTTATCTTTGCATCAAATATTGTGCCTACCTTTGTGAGTCATTTTTGATCATTACACTATGTATACATAGATGGAAACATCACACTGTACCCTATAAATATGTACACGTTTATATGTCAATTGCAAATAAAAAGAATCTTTAAAAATCTGAACACACGGGTATGGTCCCTGTCCCCCAGGGAACTTTCAAAATGGGCAGAAACAAACAAGAAAATAAACAACAGATCATTCCCAAATTGTGTGAATTTCTATGAAACATGTTTTAAAACTATGAGAAGGAATAAAAAAGAGTATTTCCGTTTAATGAAAAACAGACTCAGGGAAAGCCCCTTTCAAGTGTGACGTGATGGATAAGAGAAGCCACTGGTGATAAATATTGGGGGACAGCTTTGCAAGCAAAGCAAACAGCAGCGGTGAGCGCTCTGAGAGCGGGGAAGAAACTTGTGATATGGGAGGAAACAAAAAAGATCCACTGTGACTAAGGCTTCGCAGGAAGCAGGAGACAAGACACAGGTGAGAAAACATGAATGAGGACTAAGATCATACGGCGCTTGGCAAGCCATGGTAACATGCAGAATTCTTTTAGGTAAAACAATTCAACCAGTGACACAGAAGCCAGGCAGAGAAGTGAGGGGGAGACTAGGGGAGCATGACAGCCAAAGGAGGTGACAGCTGCAGGAGGAGGAAATCAACAGTGTAGAATGCTGAGACATTCTGAAGCAGGGACAGAAACACACAATAGACCATTCTAGGTGCAAACCTGTAACTTTCAAAGTGTGATGTTGCTGTAGTGATGAGGACAAAGACAAAACTGAAGTGGGAAGTGAGTGAAAAGAATATGAGGAAATAAGGAAGTACAGGCCAAACTTCCTAGATGTTTCACTATAAAGAAAAGCAGACAAAAGTGGGCCTATAGATGGAAGAAAATGCAGACTTCAGAGGGGGTATTTGTATCCTGGAACATGATGGGAACAATTCAGAACAGTAGAAAGAATGATGACTCACAGAAGTGGAATGGTAAATTTATACTTTATTGCTTGACAGGGATAGTCCTACTTCATATTATCCTCAAAATATTATCTCCCATATTTTTTATTTTACAGATGAATTTGAGAATCATTTCATTTCCCTGTACGTATCCCCTTCAAAGAAAAAACTGAGTATCTGGGTATTACTATGAAATCTAAGTATTTACCTAGGTGTACTTGAAATATTAGTAGCATCTGCTCTTTCCAACTTACAATTTGGATTGTCTATTTCTTTATGTCCCTGCTAACACTTTAAGTTTGTTTGGTGGTTTCTTCATCTTGGCAATTTTCTCATATTCCTCACGGAGCAGGAAAACCCTTGGTGAAACCTGCCTCTGCAGATGGATGGCTTGGGAGGAGCCTCATTGTGGAGAATGATTAGGTGTGTATGCATCTCTTCATCAGTATATGTGTAAATGCCACAAGAATAACATGGCAATGCAGTACAAGGTTTCCATTCACATATAATTATTCACATGTAATGAACAAATGAACTAGGAGGCTTTTTTTTTTCAATCTTAACACCCATGTCCTTGTGCCATGTCATGAGAATGTTTGCATGTTTGCTTGCTTGCTATTTCTATTAAGGCAAAAGGGGAACTTCCTTTCAGAATTTGAATTAAGAAAAACAAAGCTGTAATTAGATCATCTTCAATTACTTTAATATTTTAGAGAGAGGCAGACCATCCAGCTAGGTGGAAGAAAATGAGTGACCAGACTGTGTCCAGAGAAACTGACTGAATAAATCTCTTTTTGTAATTCTACTTAACATGTGGGACAGTAAACTGAAATATGCTTCATCTTACTAGCGGGGGGCTGTGAAACCAGGTTAAAAAATAGACATAATAACTGTAATATCAATTCACAAGAATCAATAGTTACCTTGATAATAATTAAAAGAACCTTGTTAAAAAATCCTCCTGACATTCCTCTGTGTAAAACTAAACTTTTTGCTCATCTTCTTACTAAAGATAATGACGAATTAATCTGGGAATTGGCAAGAAAAATATTTGAGTCTTACCTGATCTCTGGCTCTAACTTTCCCCTAAAATAATTATCCACCAAATGCTTACTGTGCAAACTAGTTTGTATATAAAAAGTTTGAGATGTTATTTTACATGAATATTGAAGTCACTAGACTTCTATGTGGGGCAATTTTTCTATTCTATCTGCAAACAAATTTCAATATGAAGGAGAATGGATCTGTAACATGTATATTTATGTGTTTATAGAAGCACTATATTTGTAGACATTTTACTAGATATCAAAACATGTTATTTTGTCTTTGGTCTTTGAGGAATTCTTGTTCTTCAGAGGACTGATGAGAATGACAATGTAATTAAGTACTATAATTAAAAACAGCATATCTAAATGTGACTTATTAAGGAAATTCTATTCCACTTTCATGAAAATATGGAAATAAAATGAAAAACTCAAATATTTACATTTAATTTCCCTAATTGATACTAGCAGTCAGTATTCATCTTTTTACTATATGTGAACTTTAAATGTTTTTTTAGAATATAGTATTATTTCAAAGTTTAATCTAAGGAAATCATCATGAAATACTATGTTCTTTATTCAAAACTGACCCGACTTTGATTATTTTATTACTATTTCTCTGCAAGGAATTAGTATATAGCAGTGATAAAGTCAACACACAGAGTAAATTCTCTTCTCAAAACAGAATAAAAAATGGAATTCTGTTGTTAAGAGTACATTAAATTACTTCAGAAAGAGCTGACATCTTTATAACATCATTATAAGATTAAGTGTGTTTGTATGCAAGAGCAATTCTGATCTGTTTTCTCAAGCCTTGATTTGTATTGTTCAGGAGAGTTCTACAATTTTCTTTATGTTGATCTTGCATGTTTCTTAAGTTTATTATTGTTTTATCTTTTTTTCCTATCTTTAAATAGCTCATTTTGGTCTTATGTGCCTTTCTCACTACTGCTGATTCTTAAGTTTATGGAAAAAAGTAAGACTGGTCAGAAAGGCTGTGAAAGAAGGACTATAAAGGGAGATGATCCCAACAGATATTTAGACACATGAAGCCTAATAATGAAAGTGTGGCACTGGAATCACGACTGACTGACGGAACAGAAAGGTAAGCAGCAGATCCCAAAATATGAGAATGTATCATACGATAAAAGCAGCACCTCAAATCAATGGGTAAAAATAGCTACTTTATAAAGGACATATTTGGAAAAACTGAAGTTGAAATCATATTTCCTACCATGCATCAGGATAAATTCTAAGTAGAACAAATGTTAAAACATTAAGATATTAGAGTCAGAAAGTTGTTAGATGAAAAATAAGAGAATTTTGTTTAACCTCAAATTGCTTGAGGTCTTTTCAACTATGCTTGAAAGTCAAAAGCCCCGCTCCTCCCAAAAAAGATTGATAAATTTGACACCTAAAAAATAAATTCTTCATGGTATAAAATACTATCAGGAAAGCTGGGAAACCAACAATATGTCGGGGGAAAAATATTTGCAACACATATAAAAAATGACGGGCTAATTTCCCTAGTACAAAACAAAAGATTCTAGAAATCCATAAGAAAAAAACCCAACAATCTAATAGAAAAGTGTGCAAAGTCTATGAAATGACAATTTACAGAGAAAATAATATATAAATGGCTCATATACAAATGAAAAGATATTCAAGCTCAATTCTAACCAGAGAAATGCAAATCAAAAATAACCTGGATGATTTTTTTAACTAGTTGATTGATACGAGTTGTTGTAAAGTTTCATAGGAAACCTGACTGGATAAACTTCTAGTACAGAAATGTTATACTTTTTGATTGCTGAATCACATGTTAACTATTCATATGAATGTGTTACCTACTTATGTAAAGTACTTATTCATAGTAATGTTGTACTTACATGAAAGTTGACAAAAATGCCTATTTATGTTGATATCCTAAAATGGAAAATAATATTTTGCTTGATATCAACAAAAAGTAACTTTTATAAAGATAAGTAAAGGAAAATCAAATATATACAATATTTGGTTCAGCTAGATATTGCTCCTCCTAAACCTAACACTTACTTTCATTAAAAACACGAAAATAAAGAGATTCTCCTTGAGGTCATCAGAAATATCAAAAGAGAATAAAAAATGGAATAATTTTCTCACTATTAAATTCAGTGTTACTTTGTGTCATGATCAAGTTTCACCAAGTAGTACCCTTAGTAGTATACTTGTCTTTTTTCTATGATATTAGATGTGAGAATCACTTCAAAGGAAGAATGGGCATGAATAGTAAATGGTAAATGTGAGGATGCAGGTAAGGAAGAAGATTATAACAAGTTTTTTTTTTTTTTTTTTTTTTTTGAGACAGAGTCTTGCTCTGTCGCCAGGCGCCACGCTGAGTACAGTGGCGCGATCTCAGCTCACTGCAACCTCCGGCTCCTGGGTTCAAGTAATTCTCCTGCCTCAGCCTCCCACGTGGCTGGAACTACAGGTGTGCGCCACCACGCCCAGCTAATTTTTGTATTTATGTAGAGATGCGGTTTCACCATGTTGGCCGGGATGGTCTTGATCTCTTGACCTCGTGATCCGCCCACCTCGGCCTCGCAAAGTGCTGGGATTATAGGCGTGAGCCACTGTGCCCAGCCTATAACAAGTTGTAAGCTGGGCATTTGAGGGAATAGTAGCAACATTAACAGAAATGACTAAATCAAAGAAAATATGCTATGAGCAGGAGGAGAGCTTGAATTCAACAAAGCAGCTTCTACGTAGAAATGATCAGTGGGTCTGGAGCAAATGGAATTAGGAACAGAAAAGACACAAAAGGTATACATGAAAAAGACACAGGTGTGTTGACAAATAATTCCTACCAGCCATTTTTCATATTCATCAATAGCTTGTTTATCCTTATCTTTTTTCTCAGCTCTTTTCAGTTCTTCTTTTCTTTTCTCATTTATTTTTTCCTTTTCCTTTTGCTTGAAAAAAGCTTCCTTCTTCTCATTCCTATAGAGGATGGTATAAAACACTGGAGAGTTAAAGGAAAATACATCCTAAAGGTTTCCTAGTACATCTTTGACAGTAATGAGACTGAAATGTATTAGTAAATCTCAAGTAAATAATTTTCATACAATCCTGAAGTGTTATTAATTTAAAATATATCAAAATATTTATGATCTTGGATTACCATTTTTCAACAGCAGTTAAATTGTCTTTCTTTTTCTCGGCAACAGTCTCCTCCTCTTTCTGTTTCTTTGCTCTTTCATATTCTCTCTCCTTTCTGTTTTTCTCTTTAAGATATTCCATCTTTTTCTCTTTCCATTTTTCAAAAGCCTGAAAAAGTTCAGAATAATGTTCTTACTGTGAATATTTAAAAATAAATAAAAATATGGTTAAGCATTAATTGGATTTCAAATATTTTTAAATAATTAAGATGTGCAAAGCTCTCAAATACCTGTAGTGCTTCTTCTTTCCTCACAGCATTTTCTTCTTCAGTTTTCTTCTTGTTTTTTTCTTCAAGCCTCTTTTTGGCGGCTATTTTCTTTGCTTCCTTTTCTTTCATAGCCTTCCAGGCCTCAAATGATGCTAATGCTTCTTCTCTTTTAGCAGCTCTTTTCTACATTGGAAAAAACAATAGTGATATACACACACATATATATACACACACACATATATAGACAAATATGGCTACATATAAATATACACACACACATTTATCTTTAATCTTCTGATATTCATTGTACTTGGAAGTTAACTTTTAAAGTAGATAATTTATTTAGAGTGGCTTAGATAAGTTAATTTACAAAGAATGTTATCTGAATTATTCATTGATTTTTAAAATGTCATTTTCTAAAAACATTTATCACATATTGACCTATTAATGAGAAAAATGCCAACTATTATTTTTGAAATGTACTAAACAAATGATATCAAAATAAATTGTAATAGGCTAAGTGGTGCAGTAAAATTTTCATAATAAAATATTTCAGTAAAAAAAATCAGTAAAGTTAAAGGCTTATAAAGTAAGTTAGAGTAAGGCAAATTGGCCAAGTCATGCAGTAAGATACAGATCTTTGGTTTCAATCTTAATTTTGAATAGTATCAAAACATAAAGTTCTTACTAATGTATTCCAAATGTTGAAAGGATGTGCTAGAATGAAAAATAGGTTGGAGACTCTATACCAAGTTATGTTATTTTACTTCCTTCAATCTAATCCCATAATATTCTATGTTTGCTTTATTGTTTATTACTAAATGACATAAAACCTTAATATGGGGTAACATAATTTAGAAGTCAAAGTACATCTACCTCACAGAGCTGGGAAGATCAAAGGAGAAGGGGTACGGCACTGACCAGAGCTGCATACTGCTACGAACGTGGGTAACAGACAGACAGGCACGCCCCCTGGACGGCTGCTCCCTTTGCTACTGATGAATTATCGTTCAGTTCACTTTGGAAAATTGTTTGCTTCTAAATTTATTTTAGTATTGAACAACACACTAGAATATTTTTCAGAACTTTTATTTTAGAAGATAGGAAATAACTGAGTATATTATGAGCAGGAGTTAGAGGAATAGACTCAGTACAGAAGAGACAGGAACAAAAGTTCACCTCCAGTCGATGAGAAAGGATATAAATCAAGAGCTCAGGTAGCGGTTGGACTTGAGACACTTATAAAATTCAAGAGAGAAAAGAGGAAAGAAAACTCAAGGCTAACTAATGTCTAATGATCCTTTATCTTCTTGTGTTTTTTTTTTTTTTTTTGAGACAGAGTCTCTGTCACCCTGGCTGGACTACAGTGGCTCAATCTCAGCTAACTGCAACCTCCTCCTCCCTCCCAAGAAGCTGGGATTACAGGTCCCCGCCACTATGCCCAGCTAATTCTTGTACTTTTAGTAGAGACAGGGTTTCACCACGTTGCGCATGCTGGTGTGAACTCCAAACCTCAAGGGATCCCGCCTGCCTTGGCCTCACAAAGCGATGGGATTACAGGTTTGAGCCACAGTGCCTGACCTTCTTGGTTAACTTCTAAATGAAGTCAGCTTTTAAGAGTGAATTAGGTGCTCACAAACAATAAAACTTCATAATCAGCAGGAACAAAGCTATCCTATACATATACAAAATTAAAATCTGTTTTAATGTAAGACAGTTATATCAAACTAAAATGTATAAAGCAAAACAGAAATAAAACCAGAAATAAATTCTTTAATATACAAGTTATTTTGCCATTTGAAAAGTTGATTCAGAAAAGTTATATATTCAGGGATATTTTACTGAAATAAATATCCAGAACACTCTTACTTCTATAAGTCAGAATACCTGTTCATTTTGGATCCTTAAGTTTTCACTTTCAATTCTTTTTATTCTGTGCATTTCATGTAAATACACATTTTTCTTTTCTAACCACTCCTATGAGAACAAGAGGAAGGTTATATAATATTCAAAATTTCGTAAATGAATTACAATTCTTTATATTAACATTTTTCTCTAAAATTCACATGTACAATTTTCTAAAGTGCACTATTCTACATAAAAAAGACAAGATCTTTTTTAGAATTGTGAATAAATTAATAAAATCTTTTTTCTATGTATGCCTAACAACATCTCAGGAAAGAAAAAATTCAATAACTTTTTGTTCATAGTAATTCTTTTGTTCATATAAACTTCAAGAAGAAAAGATGAAAATGTATGTAGGCTTCACAACATTTTAGCTTTTGCTATATTTCTATAAATTGCTATGGCATATTCTCTCTTTAAAAACAACAACTGTGATCAGTTACGCAAAGTGTGGAAGCAAATAATTTAGTAAAATATCTATGGATTACTCATGTATTAAAAGAAAAACTTTCTCAATAAATTTAAGTATTAAACCATTTCAGACAGGGTTACTTTATTCTTTATAAACATGGTGGGCTTATAAAAGTGATTATTATTATTCTCTTCTTAAAAATATTTTCCTCTTTTACCTGATAAACAGCTGCTCTTATGTTATCTGCTCTATCAGATTCTATGCTCTGTTTCTGTGAAGGTTTTTGGTCCAAGACTTTTAAAGTCCCTAAATAGTGAGAAGAGGGAGTTGTTGGTGGAGTTCTCCTTTTAGAACTAGATTTCTTCAGAAACTCAGAGGTCATTAATCTGAAAAGACCCAAAGTAACAAAGACAAAATATTACAATTGCATTTGGTAGAAAAGAAATCTGTTAGAATATGCATGTATTAATATTTGAAAACTGGTCAGTCACAATGGCTCATACCTGTAATGCCAGCATTTTGGAAGGCCAAAGTGGGTTGGTCACTTGAGCTCAGGAGTTACAGACCAGCCTGGGCAACATGGGGAAACCCTGTCTCTGCCAAAAATACAAAAAAAAACTAGCCAGTGTGGTGGCGCATGCCACTAGTCCTAGCTACTCTGGAGGCTGAGGTGCGAGAACCGCTTGAGCCCAGGAGGCAGAGGCTGCAGTGAGCAGAGATCATGCTACTGCACTCCAGCCTGAGCAACAGAGTGAGACTCCATCTCAAAAACAACAAAAAAATTGAAAACTACATTATAATTTAACAAATTGTAATGACTTTGAAAATGATGTAGGTAAAATGTACAGTCTTGGTATACAAAGAGTATGAAATTATGTTGAAGGAGACATATGTGCCCTTCAATATAATTGAAATTTTATAACTTTAAGTTTATATAGGTTAAAATGATTGCTCTTTTAAAATACTTGTAATTAGACCCTTTTTAAGAAATATGGACCACTCCTCAAGTTACATGGAAAAAACAATAAAGTAGGTTATAATCACTCTTTTAATAGTTTCTTTCATCATTTTGTTACATGTACTATTCCAAATATAAAATTAGAAAGAATAGTACCATCTATTTAAGGGACTGGTAGGAAAAATGGCCAGCCCTCAGTTTTGGTACACAAAGTTTATTGCACCATAGCTGTAATCATTCACTTACGTTTTGCCTGTGGCGGTTTTCCTGTTAAAACAGTAGAAATGAGTAGTTGCAATAGACTGTATTTCCTACAAAGCCTAGAATATGTACTACTGGCCATTTGCAGAAAAACCTTGGTGGCTGTTTTGATTAATGATAATTTGACTAATGATAATTTAGGGATTCAGAAGGTTTTGATGAGTGCGTATGAGTTAAGCATTCATTATCATTGGTGCGAATGAAGCTATGTAGATTATCATTTTAATAAAGCTACTTAGTTCATAGATTCTGAAGACTTTCAGCAAAATTTTTCACGTTAGATAAAAATGCTTGATAATAAATAAGTATCATTGCTGGACTTCAGCTTTATTATTATTTTGTATCTCTTATCTTAGGAAAAATAGGAGAAGGAGAAAGAAGCTCTATTCCAGAAGCAGTGTGGAGCAGAGAGAACCCCTAATCACTGACATTAAGAAAGAAGAAAAATATTCCTAGGCTGATCCTGGAGACCAAATGTGTTGTATAAACATTCCAGACATTAAAACTACCAGTAATAGACTTACTTTTTATAAATTACTTTATTTCAAATAATATCATCAACCAAGGGGTTTTATCATGAAGTAACTACTCATTTCATCTTATGAAATGGAAATAAAGAGAAAATACAGTAACACCAAATGAAATTTACTTTGTGAAAGTCAAATTAAAACTAGCTTTGCTAGAATGCAAGCCCATAAATGACAAATACTGATAACTTTATTACCTGGCAGATGCACTGGATGCTCTATTATTTGTTGACTTTTTATTCTTCATATTTCTATCTTCAATTGTTTTCTATTAAACAGAAAATGCCATAGATGATTTATTCATGACAACCATCCTTCTTAGGCTTAGAAGCCAAAAACTGCCAATAAGTCAGTATTTTTTAAGCATCCACTCTGTGTCAAACACATCAGACACTGGGAACAAATCACTGAATAAAATACCCTTAAGATTAAATTTTAGACAGGGCTGACCAAAAGCAAACATATAAGCAAACATGATTCATGAAGGAGATAAAATATTGTACAGTGACAGAGAGTGACTAAAGCGGGTTTGAGGGGCTGCTTTAGAGAAGTTGATGAGAGAAGGCTGTATGGAAGGCCTGACATCAGAGCTGAGACAAATAATGAGTGCAAAGGGCCCACGTCAAAGTCTAGGAAAGAAAGAAACAGCAAGTGATAAACAAGCAAACAGCAAGCTCTGAGAAAAGACAGAGCTTGGTATCTTTGAAAAACAGAAAGAGGTGAATGGAGCTGAAGCATAGTGTGAATGGCAGGGAAAGCAGAGGAAGATGTGGTCAGAGAAGAACCATGTGAGACCACTAGGTGGCGATGAGGAGTCTGGACTGTATTCTTGTGATGAGAAACCAACAAAAAGGCTTTAATGGAGAATGATAAGATTCCTGTTTAGAAAAGGTCACTCAGTGGAGAGTAAGAATGAAGTCAAGGGTCCAGTCAAAAGAAATATGTTACAACCTTACTGTTACATATAAATTTCCTGTTCTAATTAAACATGCTACAATCCTGTCTATAAACTCCAGAATACCCTTTCTTCCAAGGAAGAACTTTTTAACTTTACACAGACTGATGGATGCTAATGGTAAAGTGAAAGCACAAATATAAACACATCCCTAACTGTGTTTTTTCCCTAAGGAAAGTACCTAAGGATGATATACCTGGAACACGGCTTAATGAAACTTCATACATTTTAAGAAAAGCTGGTATTTTATGTTATGAAAGTATTGCTCAAACACAAATTTTCAGCTAGCACTGTTTTCTTCCCTGATAATAAGTACACGGAGCTGCTAACTAATTGCAGCTATAAGAGACAGTGACAAATTCAGGAGAAACAAGCACTGAAAATGCTATACCATAAATTTTTAACTTATAGCACTCAGGCACAATTTAGTGTAGAGACAGGTAATCCTACACATCACATATATGTTTCTTAAGGTTACAATAATGTTCCCCTCAACAACAACAAAAAACCAAATAAACCCCGTTAAAAAGAGGGCAAAAAATGTGAATAGATATTCCTGAAAAGAAGACATACAAGTGGTCAAGAAACGTGAAAAAAAATGCTCACCATCACTAATCATCAAAGAAACACAAATTAAAACCAGTGAGATATCTTATACTAGTCAGAATATTCAGTTATTATTAAAAAGCTTAAAAAGTAACAAATGTTGGTGAGAACACAGAGAAAAGGGAATGCTTATATACTCTTGGTAAAAATGTAAATTAGTACAATCTCTATGGAAAATAATATGTGAATTTCTTAAAGAAGTAAAAACAGAACTACCATTCAATCCAGCAACCCCACTATGAGTATCTGCCCAAAGGAAAATAAACCATTATATAAAAGATACCTGCTTACATGTTTATCACAGCACTAGTCACAACAACAAAGGTAAGGAATCAACCATCAACCTAAGTGTACATCAACATATGACTGGCTAAAGAAAATGTGGCGTAGACACACACACACACACACACACACACACACACACACACACACACACAATGGAATACGACGCAGCCATACATAAAAGAAATAATGTCTTTTACAACAACTTGGATGGAACTGAAGGCTATTACCTTAAGTGAAATAAATCAGAAACAGAAAGTCAAATGCTGCCTGTTCTTACAAGTGGGAGCTAAATAATGTGTACACACGTATACGGAGTGTGGAATAATAGATATTGGAGACTAGGAAGAGTGGGATGGAGGTGAGGGATGAGAAATTCCTTAACGGGTACAATGTTCACTTTAGTTTATACTAAAAGTCTGACTTTACTACTATACAATATAACCATGTAACAAAAAAGAACTTTGTACCTGTTAAATTTATATGAAATAAGAAAAGAAAAAAAAGAAAGCAACTTCATCACCTCTGGAGGTTGCTAGGGCACTAATTCATTATTTTGAAAATTAGGAAATAAAGGCAAAGTATCAAGTATTAATGTTCCTGATAACCATCTATTTCAAAGAAGCATGGATGTTGATAAACATTTTTTAAGACTTTCATCAAAATTGTTAACATGTTTTAAAACAATTATCCAAAAACATAACTCTAATTTAAAATGTCAGAAATTATTCCAGACAGTTATATTTTTAAAATATGAAGACCTATGGGAATGTATACACTAAGGGAATGTATTTCTGAAATATTTAAAAGTATATTATGATCAAATGCCTCTAATAATTTTTAAACACTGGGTTTCATTATATTCATTGCAAACTTTCCTTAAAGTTAAATTTTATTAGATTAAGTAAGAACCATGTGAAAATACCCCTATCAAAAAATAAATTTTCCCCAAGTAATTCAGAACACAGAAGATAAAATTTCTGGCCTGGTGTGGTGGCTCACGCCTGTAATCCCAGCACTTTGGGAGGCTGAGGTAGGTGGATCACGAGGTCAGGAGTTCAAGACCAGCCTGGCCAGTATGGTGAAACCCCATCTCTACTAAAAATATAAAAAATTAGCCAGGCATGGTGGTGGGCGCCTGGATTCCCAGCTACTCTGAAGGCTAAGGCAGAGAATCGTTTGAACCTGGGAGGCAGAGGTTGCAGTGAGCTGAGTTTGCCATCACTGCACTCCAGCCTGGGAGAGAGAGCGAGATTCCGTGTCAAAAAAATAAAAAATCTTAAAGTTCTATTTCAAGTTTTAAGCTATAGAATGAAAGGTATGAATTTTTATAAATACCTTTGCAGACACTGTTGAACTAGCAGGTATTAAGATACTCTGAGATTTAGATAGCAGTGGATCAACTGTTCTGTCACCATCCATAATCAGTTCAGCTTTCTCCTTTTCTTCTTCAAGGTCATCAGCAGTCACCTGACTTTCCTTGGATTTCTCAAATGCAGTAGTGACATGGTCTGCTGAAATTGAATGCTCTTCATTTTCATCTGATTTCAAGGAATTATGGTTTTCAGTGATTTCTTCATTTGGATCTACTTTGAGACAGAGTAATACTATTAAAACCCACTTCTGAATTAATAAGGTGAATACCAGATTCATTTGCTTTCTTTTAAACTATTTATAATCTCTTTTTTTCTTACAAAATATGAAGAAAACTGTCATATTAAACTTGCACAAACTTTTTCAAAAGTGATTTACCAAAAAAGTCTACATTTAATGAAGCACTTAACAAATCTAATACCTAGAAAAATAGCATATTAACAAACAGAATGAAATAACTACCCTAAAACAAAAGAAACATCAAAAGAGCTGTTGATATACAAACCAAGTAAGTGAGGTGACAATATTTGTTCAACCCTAAAGCCTGAGTTTCTTAGCTAGAACAACAGGCTGCAAAAGAAGGAGCCACACCTCTCTAGGCTACTACAGCTACTAGTAGTACAATTGTTGAACGGTATAGATGCAGAAAGAACCAAGAATCAATGCAGTTTTACAGTCTCTACTGAGTCGCATCCCACCAAGACGCAGTACTACCTCTGATACCATAAATAAAGACAATAAAGACAAGCCTATTGCTTATACTCTCAGTGCTCCAAGAAACAGGCTCAAGCTCTGGCATACAAAGACTCAGTTTTGCATTTATAGAATTGCTTCTACGATCCTGATTCTACTACATTTGGGAATGGGATCACCAACTTTCAGTTCTACGAAGCTCTGCCTTCCAGCAAAATCTGAATCTTCACTGTCAAAAGTCTTAATTCTGTTGGTTTCATTATGACCAGTTTTTTTTTTGTTTTTTTTTTTTTTTTAGAATTTGTTTTGAGGTAAAATGGGCTTAAAATTACATTATTATTCACATTTGGAAATTACTCATGACTCAATTTATTACTGGATTCTTTGGAGATCTTAATGTATTCAGTGAAAGGAACAAGAACTTTGGAGCCCAAGATTTACCTGTGGCTCCGTCACTAACCTTGGGTATGTTTTCCCAAATCACTGTACTTCAGCTTTTCTCATCTGTAAAATGACAAAAATGATACTACCTAGTAAGCCCTTAATAAATGTTCACCTCTCAGACCTAGAAATATTTATATCTTTTAGATTTCATTAAGTTACATATCGCAGCATTAAGAAAAAAATTATGTTAACTCACATATCACACTAAGTGTTTACTATGGGGGTATTGCTGTAAATACTTTGCATATATTATTAATTTTTTAATTTTACACTACCCTATAACAGATTATTTTTATTTTACCCATTTTTAAAGATCAATATAAAGGGTCAGAAAGGTTAATTGCTTTGCTTATGTAATGTAATGTGTGCCAGTATTCAAACCTAGCTTAGTCTCACTTTAAAATTCCACCTAGCTCTTATATTGTCCTGCAGAATATCACAGCAACACATACATAATGATAGTTTACCATAAGTGCTCACTCCACTTGGGGCATGAATTAGGCTAGTGGCTAAAATGCACTACATCACTTAATTTTCATAATAACCTTATGAGACAGAAAATATAATTTGGGGAAATTGAGGCACTGAGAGATTAAGTTCTGCATCCAAAATCACAGTTAGTTAACTATATGGTCTGGATTAAAACTCAAACACACAAAAACATATATTTCCCTTGTAACTATACAAAGTATTATTTCTCTTATAAACAGGATATTCTAAGTAGTACAGAGTTCACAAATAAGATAAGATATAATTATTAGACATAACCACCTTTTATGGATGCATTTCCGTCAGATCCTGGTGAAAAAGAATCTCCAAGAATTTGTTTAAGAGATGACGATGATAGACTTGTTAAGCATGAATCCTGTTTTTGCAAAATAAAAATATATTTGCCAAGTAAGCTTAGTTACCAACATTCGTGGAAACAATAGCATTATTAAAACTACAAATTCTGAAATAGTGCATAATTCTGAAATCTGCATGATTAGGCATTTGTTGCTGAAACACAAAATGTGATGAGCCATTGAAGGTGAGTATGCTTTACTTTCAAGCCTTGATGTCTTGGTCATTAAAAGGGGCCACTGGAAGAGTTATTCAAGTTCCTTACCTAACTATCACCACCTCTCTATTTGATTTCACCAATTTTCAAAACTCCTGTTACTTTAAAACCAAATTTCTTATAAATATTTAAGGCCAAGATTTGATTTTGATAACTCTTCCTACAATTATCCTTTGAAGGAAAGCATAAAGAAGACAGGTAAAATACTTTAGTTCCAAGCAAATATTACTAGTTATCCAAATGAAAGCATTTAATAAAAGCAAGTAAGCAGCTACTTCCAAATATTTTAAATAGAAAAAGCACATAGATTGTATGCATTTGAGTTTTCTCAAAATTCTGATAATTATATCGAAATGAAATAATTATATTTGTGTATCAAAGGTAAATATTTCTTCTTAGAATTGTCTAGCCTAAAGGTGATATTATACTGTAAGAAGTTCAACTTTGTTGTGCAAATATTTTAATTTTCTTTCCCCGTGATATTTTATGGGTACAAAGAAAATTATATGCCAAAAGCAATGGAGAGAAAACATTTGAGAAAATGGAAGAAGGCTGAGACACTGGAGTCTACCCTGAAAGACAAAGCTTCACCTGACGCGATCTGCAAATTGGTAGCTTTTTATCAGAAGGCATTCTGCAATCTATGCAGCTCAAGTAATAGGAGGCTACAGCCTCGGTGGGCTGACTCGAGGGGACAGAAGATAGAGTCTAGGACCACCAAATCAGCCAAAATAGCAGAGGACAGTGACCACAAAATCTGCATATGAAATTCACCAAAAACCTTTACCACCTCCATCTGTGGCATAAGGGAGAACTCAGAGGATCCTGTAAAAGCAGATTCTGTACGTATCTATATGTATTATAGATATATACAGAATATATATCTCTAATATATATTTATTCTAGTCTTTAATTCTTTAAAAGTCTAATACGAAGAATTAAAGGGCTCTTTAAAGAAAAGTTATAACTCTATTGTGGGGATTGTATGATACGCAGATGTAATATATACGACAACAAAAGCACAATGGATGAGAAACTATATATATATGGAACTATAAGCAAGGTTTCTATATCAAATGTGAAACAATGCAATATCAATTCTAAATAGACTGTGATAATTTTTAGATGTATTTTGCAACCCACTGAGCAACTATGAAAAATATAATGCAAACAGATATAAATGGTCAATAACAATAAAAAACTAAAAAATTCATTATACCCTCAAAAAAAGGCAAGAAAAGAATAACAGAGAAACAACAATAAAAACAATAACTTAAAAAAACAGGTAAATACTGACAGAAGTAAAGAGAAGTATAGACAAACCCACAAACATAATGGGATATATTAATACCCCTAAGTTGGTAACTGGTAAACAAATTAGATGAGAAGTCGATAAAGATAAGAAGATCTGAGTGATGTTACCAACCATGTTGACCAAACTTAAATTACAAAACATTCAACACCTGAGGAACACATCTACTTTGCAAATGCAAATGAGACTTTCATAAGATACACTAAGTCTAGGCAGTTTAGCATTAATAATTTAAAAGAATCCATTTCTGTTGTTTTAAGTTAACCAGTTTGTGGTAATTTGCTACAGCAGCTACAACAGACTAGCACAATATTCAACTGACCAGATAATTTTCTCAAATATAAAGTAATTGCTTGGGCTTCGCCTTCGGGTTTTCAGAACAAATTAAGAAACAGCCTGGTGGTGTCAGCTAGACGTGCATCAAATAATCGGCTGTGCCAGTAAAGTTCAACTGCAGAACAAGATTTGAATCGGTAGCCTATTGTGCTTCCTGATACTTCCGGTCTGAATAAAGGGGGGTTCCCCATTTATTCACAGCACAGAGGGGCTACTCTTGGCCCCTTCTGCCACACCTCCCAGGGCACAGATCCTTACACACCAACACTGCCGACAACGGATGAGAAAAAGAAAGAAGCTTGGCCAGGTGGCATGCAGTTCCTTTTCCCCAATTTGCCCAAGCAGATTATGGAGAAGAAATGTTCTTCCTGTACTTTTCCCTTCTGTAATGTTCAGAAGAGAAAGTTTACTTCTCATAGTGAATAACAATGCATAGTAAACTCCCTGATGGAAATCTGTAAGGCCACATTAAATGCTATTGGAACATAGCCCAAAGAACACAGAACAGTGACATGAACATTGAACACACATTTGTTGAGTGAATCTAATCAAATAAATAAAATGACATTATTGTTCTTAGCCATAAATTACATAATTCAAAGATACATAAATTTAAAAAATTATTAAAGATAAACACTATCATACAGATTGAGAAAAGCAACATTTTTGACGTTTTACTTTCTCTAAAACTGGTTACACTACAATCACTGGTGTGTTATAGTTTAATTGGATTCATTTCCTTCTTCCTTACTGGTATGTACAATAATGCTACATCTTACAATTCGTGCAGGTTTAGACTTGGTGGAATACAGTGTATTTTTAAAAATTATTTCCTTATCAGTTGCAGAAGAAAATATGTAAAACACACACATGCACACAAATTCATTCTCTCCCTCTTTTTCATAATTAGATAAAAAAGCATAAATTCAAGAACACAATTCAACAGTTTAGCAGTAGTGCTAACCTCAGCATCAAGGTTTTCAGAGAATGCTTTTTTCTCAGCTTCTAATTGTGTGCCATTCGGCATTGGAAGGGAAGAGGGTGAAGAATGTAACTCCAATTCTTCACCGAGGGCAGTTTCTTTATCTTCTAGTCCATCTGTCTCCTCTCTGTGGCTATTCTTTTTTAACATAGTCCTTGGCCGAGGTGATGGTTTAAAGTGATCATCTGTGTCAAGGCTGTTGTTTTCCGCTGAAAAATAAAATGCTTAAAGTGTGTGTACAAAAAAGTAACCATGGCTTTATCTATCTCTCTGGGTGCCACCATACTTCCCTCCTGTGCCCATGCTCCTTAGCTCTCTGACCTCAAGAGTCCAGATGAAACCCACAACTCTTTTCTATACAGAGCTCTAGTAAGGCACAAGTAAATGATAGTTAATAATCAAAGTAAAAAAAAAAAAATAGTTGCCATCGTGAAAGTAACTGGTATACTTTAGCTTCACGAGAAGTTAACTCTTCAACATTATGAACTTTTTTTTTTTTTTGAGATGGAGTTTCACTCTTGTTGCCCAGGCTGGAGTGCACTGGCATGATCTCGGCTCACAGCAACTTCTGCCACCCAGGTTCAAGCGATTCTCCTGCCTTAGCCTCCCAAGTAGCTGGGACAGGCACGCGCCACCACGCCTGGCTAATTTTGTATTTTTAGTAGAGACAGGGTTTTTCCATGTTGGCCAGGCTGGTCTCCAACTCGCAATCTCAGGTGATCCACCCGCCTCAGCCTCCCAAAGTGCTGGGATTACCGGCATGAGCCACCATGCCTGGCCTATGAACTCTTATAGTATTCAAAAAAAGGTTAAAAAAAAAATCTTGCCTGTTTCTACCACTAAAAAATGAGGAGGTTCATCCGACAAACCTTTGAGTACCAAGCCCTGTACAAGTTACTAAATCTCATAATCAACAAAGTGGCAATGGACCTGTCCAGGGACTTTACAGGTTGATTTTTCTAAACAAAATTACAAGACAAAGGTCAGTTCTATTACAAGGACAAAGATGAAGATGTTGACACACAAGGGACAGGAGTGCTAAATCTCACTAGAAGAAGGAATCTTTTATGAGTTAATTGTTCTGAGTCCATAAAATTTCTTTAGCAGTTATTAAAATTTTGCTATTTCCATTACTTCTAAGTTTAAAACAAGAATCTAATGCTGATACGCACTCAAGCATTTGAAAAATAATGGAAAGGTTTTCCACGTATATATTTTTTGCCTGAATTTTACCTGCTATATATATTTACATTTCTATTGTTCTACAAATGCATTTTTCTAAACTTCAAAACTGGTCTAAGTAACATCTTCCTCCCATTTACCTATAAATGGGTTTATGACTGCTGCCAGAAGATTCCACAGCCATACCACGTTGGTATTATAATAAATATTTCCTTGAAAATTTTAGCTACATCCTTAACTCCAGCCAAATGTTCAACCCCAAATCCAAGGGCCCTAGATTCCTCCTTCTATTGTCCCCTATATCCAAAGCATTAATACACCCCATCAATTCTACTTGCCAAATATCTCATTTATTCCACTTTCTACACCCTCACTGTCAGGTCCTTATCTGCTCTTTCCTAGATTACGGCTTCCACGATATATACAAAATGCGAATCAGATCACATCACTCCTCTCTACAGAATTCTTCAATGGTTCCCCAGGATCCCATCCTAAAAGCTTAACTGCCTTTGAACAATATAAAAGGCTTTTATGGTTTTGTCCCTCACTGTCTTGTTTCCAGCCATTTTGTAATCGTGTTCCTGAAATGCTGGGCTAAGAGTTGTCACGCACACATGCCACAATCCCTCCTACCAGACCTTTACCCAAGCTGACGCCCCTGCCTAGAATATCAATTTCCTGCTTTTCCTTCTAACAAATGCTTGCATGCCTTTGGAGCCTCATTTTAAGTAGAGTATTATATAATGCCTGAAAGAAGGTGCTGAGTTATTATTGTGGTGGGAACACAACATGAGATCCACCTTCCCATTAAGTGCAAAAGACAGTATTGTTAACCGCAGGCACAATGTTGTACAGCAGATCTCTAGAACTTATGCATCCTGCATGACGGATACTTTATATCTGCTGAGCATGTTGATAAACAAATACTAAATATAAAATGAATAATCAGAACATTTATAGAGTGGTAAATTTATGCCAATACTGTTCTAAGCACTTCAAATATGTGAACTCATTTAATTGCCACAAACTCCTACAGGTAGACAACTGTTACCCCATTTTTAAAGATGAATAAAATGAGAACAAGGAGGTCTCATGCCCAAAGTCACAAACTATACCAGGCTGCAGATCTCAGATTAAAGGAGAGGCATCCTGATTCCAAAGTTCATGATTTCAGTCATGTTAGTATTAAAATAAAAACATATCCTGCAAAAAATACTTTCACTTTATAGAGCAACTGTCCCTTCAGTAGTGGTTGTAAGGTCTGGTTATTATACTTTTTATAAAAGATAAGCAAGGACAGAGAAAACCTTCAAGTTCTAATATTTTGATAAAGCATTACTTGCTACTCAGCAATATCTCACCACATTAAAAATACTGAGTTCCAAACTTATATATGTAATAAAAATGTCAAAGAATTTAGAGAAGGATAAACTCATGAACTATATTCCCTCTTTCAAAGATAAATCATTCATATATCAATTTATTCATTTAAACACTTAATACATTCTATATGCCAAATATTATCTTAGGAACACTAGCCTCAATTTTTACTCTTCAACATGAAGAAGCTGAGAATGACTTTAATAAATTTTCTACAACAATTCCACTTCCAGGAGTACTGTCAAGTTCCCAGAAAGAAAAAAAACGCCTATACTTTAAGAAAAATGCTCTTTTGGTAATTAATGTATACAATTACCTATTTAGGTAATTATTTTTATATTATACATGCTGAATATAACATTGCATATAGCATTTAGAATCCTGATGCCACCTTGTGGTTAAAATACAGTATTTCCTGATTCATTTGAACTCTTTTAACCCACCACAGGCAGGTTTGTTTGTTTGAAGGTATGAAATAGGTAGATTATTGCTTTCCTAATTATCTACCATAAACTTCTAATTATATACGTCCACCTGTCTCAGACAAATTTTTAGCTGCTATATGCTAGCATTTTCTCAATAACAAAGTTTAATTATGTTCCACTTCTCTCCAGCTTTGATTTCACTCACTCTACTTGGAAGGTATACTTTAACAAGTTAATTCTGTTTAATTATGCCTCCTGTTTGCATTTTTGTAGTTTTTTTTTTTAATAGATTATGAGATGCACTTCAATAAAGTCTCACAACAATTTTGCAGGAATAGAAAGAGGGCTTTTTTAGCTTCCTCATCATGAAGATAGTGAAGCTTAACTTATTTGCTGAAGTCATATATAACTAACACACAGTGGCTTTTTTCCCCCGTGTCCTGGACATTATTCTAGTGTTCTTCGGTCTGCTTAGATCCTTTGCTCATTTCAAAGTTAATGGGATTGTGGGGTCAAGAAGAATGGAGCAGATCCCTAATATATGCCTGAAATAAAATTTTGTCTGATGTTACCACTAGTATCCAATAAGCAAAGTATGAAATATTTACCAGCACTGTATTTACCGATGAGATTGGAAGGAGGCTTTTATGAAGGTTAACATCAATTAATAATTCCTTTATAAAATAGAAAGAAGACTTGAAAAACACAAAACCCTTAAACTTGCATGTACAAGTTCATGAATGGTAGCCCAGGGCATGAGAGGGCTTGGTCTCTGTTTCATTCTATCTTTGTATCTTTATGCTTAAAGTTCAGTAGAATTGTGGAAAATCTACTGTAATCTCAGATCACACCAGAACTTTCCTTTGGAAAACTGAATCTTAGTAGATTTTCGTACATACAGAGACCAAATGGAGATTCTCTCAAGGAGCACCTGGAAGCTTCAACTAAGAGCAGCAGCAACAACATAACTCATCCTTCAAATATACAAATGTCAAGAAAATTTTCTGGTGCAATGTTGGTATAGCAATGACTGTTTTAAGGATTAGTCTCAATATTGCTGTAACTCTAATCTCTGGAGTGTGAGAGGGATTAGACAGGATTCCATTCCAGTTCCATGCCTGCAAACAAAACTGAAATTCACAGGTCTAGGTGTGGGGAGGGCTACAGCGATGGGTGTCATGGATGACTAAAGGTGCTCTGGCTTTCTATCGGGCAACAGCCTAGATGCGAGACAAAATACAATAGGTGTGTAAAACTGAAGTTAAACTGTCTTTTTTTCTTAAATATATACTAGCTACCATATAAAAAGTTTTGGGACTGATTATTTTAAAATAAACTTTCAAGAAATGCAATTATAGTAATCCTAACAAATTACCTGAAGATGTGCTTTTAATTGAACGAACTCTGGGTTTAGGTTTCATTTTTATTTTGTCTTTTTCAAATTCCTCGTCCTTATTTTGAGATTCAGAGGATTTTACAACAATGTCTTCACACCCTTCAGGTGCTGTCTCCTTATCATTTTTGATGGCACATACTAGCTCATCTTTGGTTATGTTACTGTTTGGTTTCTTGGTTTTCAAAAAAGATAGTTTTGAAGGATTCTTTTCTTCATCATCTGATATATGAAAGTCATTCATTTTTCTATTAACTGAATTTTCATCTGCTGAAGTGTCGGAAAAATCACCTAAGGAAACTGAAAAAGTGAAAAGAGAAAATGTTTTCAACAGTATTTTTTTTTAATTGTCAATGTTATATTAACTTAATCAAAAAGATTACCTTAAAAACTACAAACAAAATTACAACAATGAATAGGCACAAATATATTTTATAAATAGACTTGCAGCTCTAAAACCACAGCTAACTCAAATGTTTCATTGACATTTATGAAATAGTTCCAATTTCATTAATTTATTCAAAATGTATTTATTGTGTGTCTATAGGGCAGTAAACACTATGTTTGCTCTAGAAAAATTCGTCAAAAGGTCCCTAACAATCACCCATGTAGCATTTAATTTCAATTTTGGACTGTAAAACTTTTATTTGCAAATTACTTCATCATATGAAATCAAGAACATTTGTAAATGAAGAATTTAATTAGTAATTACTATTTTTTTCCCTTAAAAATTTTGGAACTACAATTTCATCCACAACAGAATATTAGCTTTACTGAGAATCATAAGGAATGCTAAGCTAACTATGCAGCAGTGATTTAACTGTGGTTATGATTGGTTTCACAGAAATCATTAACGATTATTCACCAAATTTTAAAGAATAAAACATGAAGTTTAGAATTCCGTATGCTTACAACTGAAACTAAAATGTTAATATTTTTGCATGGCTAAGAGAAACCAAATTAAATTATGATAGTAGTGATATATGAAACACGTAGAGTCTATGGTTTTTAAAATTGACCCATTATCATAGCCAAAAAAAATCCGATTTATAGCAAGCATTATAAAGTACTTCCAATGTGCAGCAAAGTTTAGTTCTGCGGGACCTAGTTGCTAACTAGCTGTAGCACCTCCTAGGCTTCATCTTACAGATGAATCTGTCTTCTCCAATGTGGTTTACCACTGGCAGCCCTCCTTTTGCTGCAAACCTGGCATCAATTAATTTATATTTTCATATACACTTTCAAAAAAAAAAAACCATAACAAGAAAAATCATACAACTTCTTAAAAATTAACAGTGGCTTTCTACTAATTAAAAAGTTGAAAATCTAAAACTAGTGGATGCATGGGTATCATTTTAACATAAGTGATTTGGGAGAGTGGGTTGCAGGGGGTGGCTAAATACAAAACTAAGGAAGCAAAAAGAAGAAAAGCAGTTCATTTTTCCATACTGCCACATACCAATCTCATCACTGTCAAAGTCATCTGAGTATTCAGAACTCCTTTGTCTGGCTGAGCGAGCTGTAATTGCTCTTATTAGCTCATCCTGAAATGAGATACTGAAATCAATTTCCAGCCAAACATGGAGGTATCATATTTACAAGTAATTCTTTAAACAAACAATGCTTGATTAATAACTGCTTTCAAACTTAGGTTTCATTCATCTAACAAATATAAAGTGAGCAAGCTCACTTTATGTCATGTACCCACTTTATGCCTCAAACTCAATGCAGAGCAACACAGACAAGCGCTCTTCCTCATGGAGCTTGCAGTTAAACTAGAGGAGACAGATATTATCAAATAAATTAATTGCAGGTTGTGATTAGAGCTAGAGGGTAACAAACAAGAAGGGGCTCAATTTAGATTAGAATTTATCAAAAAAAAAAAAAAAAACCCGACCGTTTGAAAGAAATTGGTATTTTTAAGAGCTCTTGTCTCAGCGTATTTCAGAAATGGATGCAATCAATATTGCAAACTCAGAGGCTGAGTTCAAAATTGTAGTGACTCAACAGAAAAAATTTAAGCATTATGTTACAAAAGAAAAAAAAAGTTTTTATATAAAAATGGCAATTTAAGGTTGCTATCCAACTTAACTTACTAGGAACCTAGTATTGAGGCTACTTTGGTGATCTTAAAACCATATAGGGGAGTTTATAATAATGGATGAAGCACAAACATGATCATTTGCAAAACCTCAAAAGAAATGAAAGATTTACCCCTGCTTTGTATAGGACTGCTAGAATCACCAATTTCTATACATCTAATACAGTGCTTATACTGTGAAATGACTCAAAATAAAAATATTTTGAAATACTTTACCTGGAAAGTAGTTCTTTTGGTAACTTTTGGACTCTTTGTATATGCCAAAGTGGTGCTAAAAACTTCATCAGACATACTGTATTTTTATCTCTTTACCTTTATAAAATAGCTAATGGTTAGAATAATTCAACTTCTGATAGTGGCTGAAATATTAAAAAAAAAAATCAGACTTTGCATGCTTGAGAATTTATTTTACTACATTTGATTCTACTCTTTCCCTGAAAGTCAAACCAACTAAGAAAAGCATCTCATATGAACATTAGGCTACATCTTCACTTAAAAATGTAAAAGGAGTTCTGGTAAAGAAGTATCAAATTCTCACAACAAGCTTGTTAAAAAAAAAAATCAAATGAAAATTATCCTAAAATAGTTTAGTAACTACTTAAAAACTCAGCAAATAAATAATTACAAGTTAATACTACAAAACGCTCTCAATTAAAACAGAGCACCTTTTCACCTCTCTTCTAAAGTATAACATTGCCTTCAAAATAAATCATGCTTTATTTAAAAGGCCATCAAAAGGATAGTCGGCATAAAATTATGATCACCACCACCAAAAAAATGTATTAATATATTTGCATATAGCGCTATTCAAAGAAAAAGATCGTCATGCTGACCCGCGAACAGCCAGCGATATTTATTGCAAGCCACTTTTTCCTCTCACAAAAGTGTTGAGAGAGCCAGGTAAAACAAAAAGACGAAGGTTTCGCGATGAGCCGCATTTAAAATCGCGGTTTCCCGAGCTCGGAACAGAGGCCTGGCAGGGCCGCCAGGAGCGGTGCGCGCCCGGGTTCAGTTCCCGGCCAGGCCAGGTGGCGTCCCGGTGGCGTCCGTGTGCCCGCCCGCTCCCCACCGCGCAGTAGGTTGAACGCCCAGCTAACGCCTGGCCCAAGCGTGGTCTCTGTCCGGATCCCTAGTGGCCTCCAGGTCCTGCTTTCGGTTCCCAGCCCCCGACGCCCGCGGCGAGTTCCCCGCGACCCTGAGATCCAAGAGCCTGGCCTCGGGTAGGAGCTGCTCACCTTGGCCTGACTGGGCCTGGCAGCGCCGGCAGAGCAGGTCCTGGACCAATCGAGGAGGAGGGACTAATAACAGAGGCGGAGGGAGGTTGCTAGGAAACAGCGTCTCCGGGAGGAAGTGACTTCCCGTCTCTCTGGTACCCAACACCGCTCTTGGCCCAACGTGTCGCTGGGGCAACCAATCAGACGAAGGAAGTGACATCACCTTCCTGGGTCCTGGGAGAGGGGTGCATTATTGGCCGCTTGTGCGCACGTGCTGTTGCCTAGGAGACAGGACCCGCCCAACTCCCACCCAGATAGCCTCACCCTCGCCAGTAAGAGTAAGGGTCATTATCTGCACATGCTGCAGATAAAGCACGTTTGCTGTTTGCCACAGTTAGGACGTGAAGTTCTGAGAATCGAGGTACAGTGTCAGTGGATGAGACAGAATAGTGCGGTAGTGACGTTTGCAGAATCCTGTTTCAGACTGCACGTTTGAATCCTACTGCCCCTTTCCTACACACGTGATTGTCCAAGTTAAGGTCTTTATGACTCAGTTTCCTCATCTGGGGAAAAAAAAGTGTACTAATAATAACCACCTGAAAGGTTGCTGTAAAATTGAATGAAATAATGCAAGTGGAACACTTGGAAGAGTACCTGGAATTGCATTCGGTATTACATACGCTCTCTATGCAACTAAGCCGCAAAGGTCTTGGAGAGAAGTCAACGCCTGTGGACACAACTGAAAGCCCATTTGACGTTAACTTTCATGTAAAATTTCCCCCTTTGTATACTTAGTGAGTAATCTTTTTCGAATCAAACCAGACAACACACAAAATGATCCACTAAGCTAAAAGTCCATGTGCTACTCAAGTGAGCAAAGTAAGCATCATTTAATTAGCATAGATAATTCTTAAATAAAAACCAAAAATATTTATTGAAAATCTTTAAAATAACATGAATTTTTACTATTTTTAATTTTTAAAAAGCGTAATCCTATTTGAATTGTCTGACTGAATACATTGACTAATAATTAAACTTGTACCTGATATTTTTTCCACATCTCTAAAATATGCTAATATTTCACTTATTCAATTTTGTCTAAACAAGTCACGCTGAGACATAAACTTAATAAATCAATGTATTGAAAAACTAAATGTGCATAACAAGAAATACGACATTTAGTAAAATACAATGCTGTATTAGTCAGGGTTCTCTAGAGTGACAGAACTAATCGGATATATATATATAAAGGGGACGGGCTAATAACGGAGGTGAAGGGCGGTTGCCAGGAAACAGCGTCTCCCGGAGGAAGTGACTTCCCCAGCTCCAGTCTCTCCCATACCCAACACCGCTCTTTGGCCCAACGTGTCACTGGATATATAGCACTGGATATACAGTATATATATAATTATATAATATATAAACATATATATATATTCACTTACAAGTATTAACTCACAAGGTTCCCACAATAGGCCATCTGCAAGCTGAGGAACAAGGAAACCAGTCCGAGTTCCAAAGCTAAAGAACTTGCAGTCTGATGTTTGAGGGCAGGAAGCACCCAGCACGGGAGAAAGATGTAGGCTGGGAGTCTAAGCCAGTCTCCTCTTTTTACATTCTTCTGCCTGCTTTTATTCTGGCTGTGCTGGCAGCTGATTAGATGGTGCCCTCAGATTGAGGGTAGGTCTGCCTTTCCAAGCCCACTGACTCAATGTTAATCTCCTTTGGCAACACCCTGACAGACACACCCAGGAGCAGTACTTCGTATCCTTCAATTCAATCAAGTTGACAGTATTAACTATCACACCTTCTTCACACCAAGAGCTTTTGTTCTTCCCCACAACTTATCTGCAGGCACTGTCAAGGGAATTAAGAATTTCATAGTAGAATACGTAAAAAATGAGAGCAAGTTTCTTTTTTGTTTTTCTTTTTTTTTGAGAGGGGGTTTCACCATGTTGGCCAGGATGGTCTCGATCTCTTGACCTCATGATCCTTCTGCCTCAGCCTCCCAAAGTGCTGGGATTACAGGTGTAAGGCACTGCGCCCGACCAAGAGCAAGATCTAAGCGAATGGGAAGCGTTGGTGGAAGTTCTGTCATTGCAATATCACTAGCAATTTTATAATCCACTAGGCTATTCCCCTCAGCCTCCTTCCTGTCATTTCCTGTGGCAAATTCTGCCAGATACCTGTGGTAGTCCCCTTTCCTAAAGCAAAATCCAAAAAAAAAAAAAAAAAAAAAGTTTAAATGAGGAACAATGATTTTTAAAGGAAAATAAGCTGATTGTTTTATGTTATATAAAATATGTGACACAAATATATGTAACAATTAAAAGGTGTGCTTCAGTAATTTTAAACACTCTCAGGAATGGTTGGCTTTGTTTCAATTTTTTCCTTAGAAATTTCATATTACTAAATGTAAGTAAAAACCCCAGAGAAATTAACTGAGGAGCCTCTAAAATTCCACAAAATTATCGCTTATTAGACTACAATTAACAAGCCAGTGGTTCCAAGGAAAGGCACGACAGTGTATTAATCATGAAACAAAAATTATATATAAAACATTAAGATAGCACTGTGAAATGTATGGTCATTGGGGGAGGGAAATGGGATGGGTCCCATGAAAGCAAAAGAATATAAATAAGTAAAGCAAAAGCTAATACATTTTTATAATAGCCTGACCATCTTTTTATTCTAACATTAACGATCTTTCTAACATTAAACAATTATTCTTAAATAAAAGTTGAAACCTACCTAGAAAAGAGTCAGGATACTAAAAAGGCCAACTTTTAATCTTACATTTTCCATTCTAGCATAGAACCTACATTTTATAATAGAAAACTCTGGATTTGCCAATGTTAGCTGCTGGAATGGGGTATTTTTCCAGTGTACATCAAGAATGTCACAACAAATTAGCTCAGTCTCAACCTAAGAAAACAAAAACAAATTTTCAAAAAAATCAGATTGTTGAAGTCTAGAAATTCTATAAATTATTAGGCATTCTATGTACTCTGGTTTTGAGGAAGAGAGCTTAGTATTAAACAGAATTCACATCCTCCAAACTCTCTTCTTCCCTCTTGACATGAAAAGAGATGAAAGATGCCTCTATGTTATAAAAAGTATCTTTTCGTTAATGAATGCTATTAAGTGCTACACACACACACACACACACACACACACACACACACACACGTACTCACCCCCTCACAGTCCAGCTACAGAATTCCCAATGGCTAACAGTGAACATTGATGCTTCTTTGCTCCTTGGTAAATGCTGGGCAATTACATGAATTAACTTATTTCACAAGGTAGCAACTATTGTGTCCATTTGCATGAACAAACAGAAGCTAAGTCATTTCCCCAAAGATCATCAACTTAAAAGAACTTAATAAACAAAGCTAGGATTGGAACCCAGACAGGTTGCAAGGGGCAGAATCAAAATTCAAACCCAGGCAGTTTGCCTCCAGTCCTCACATTCCTAACAATGTTCAACAGGCAATTCCTTTAGTGGTAGAGATCTATAACTAGTTAAGACACCAAAAACCTGTGGACCAAAGTAACTATTGCCACTCACCTCTATCCATGTGTGATGCTGAAAATGTACACCACCTCTACACACACATGCCCAGGATAGAAAATGCTCCCTATTTTTCTATTAACTCATGGCACTACTGTTGAACTTTTCCAGGTTCCTCTCATGCTCCTGGAACCTCCTTTCCACCATAACACATTCTCTCGCTTTTTCTTCTATAATCGCATCCTTATCTTAGCTAAGCAAAACTATTTTCTGAATAAACTACCTCCCCGAGGGCTTTTCAAATAGAGACTGCTTTAGGAGAAGGAAGATTTCTAAGTTCTCCTAGGTCCACACATACTCAATAACTGCCCACTTCTTACTCCAAACCCTTCCTCCTCACAAGCCAATATTCTACGTTCTATTTCTCTGTTTCTGTCATCAATAGATCTCTAGGTCCTTCTCCCACATTCACTGAGTATCCACAGCCAACCTATTCAATACCTGAGATCACACCAAGGTATGGTGTGGTCATGTTCTATTCAACAGAGTTCTTTGCTCTCTATTCCAAGACTTTCACTTGTCCATACCCCTAGTTGTGCTGCTCCGTACTAGAAGACTTAAACTGTAACACCCTACTCCAAAAGGTCCATGGCTTTCTTTTGTAGTTCCTCTTCTCTTGCTATTTCTATTTAGAAATTCATCCAGACATCCAGGCTCTTTTTTTTAACCCAACCTTTCTTTCTCTTTCTTTCTTTCTCTTTCTTTCTTTCTTTCTTTCTTTCTTTCTTTCTTTCTTTCTTTCTTTCTTTCTTTCTTCCTTCCTTCCTTCCTTCCTTCCTTCCTTCCTTCCTTCCTTCCTTCCTTCCTTTCCTTTCCTTTCCTTCCTCCCTCCCTCCCTCCCTTCCTTCTTCTTTCTCTCTTTCTGTCTTTCTCTCTTTCTCTCTTTCTTTCTTTCTTTCTTTCTTTCTTTCTTTCTTTCTTTCTTTCTCTCTCTCTCTCTTTCTTTCTTTCTTTCTCTTTCTTATGCATGTGTCTCATCTAAGACATCCAGACTCTTGAGCTTTTCCCATCTTTCCCCGATTTATCAGTTGCTGTCTTTGCTTCCTGCTTCTCTTTCCTAGCTAGCCCAAATCCCACAGCGTAGCTCATGGATTTCTTTCTTCTGCACTTTCAACTTTCTCACTTCCTCATTCCTCTGGGACACAAAACTTGTCCATTGATCATCCAGATTCTTTGACCCAGCATATTTCAGAGTAGTAGTAGCAACAATTCCAGCTTACAACTTTATTTTTAGAGACAGGGTCTCATTTTGTTTTTCCTGCTACTGGCTCAAGTGATCCTTCTGTCTCCATCTCCCCAAGTGCTGAGCCACCTTTCCCAGCCCCAGCTCACAACTTCCTGTGTGACCTCAGGCATGTTACTTAAACACTCAAAACCCCAGTTTGTGCATTCATGGGTTGGGATAATACCTACCCCTTCCAGTGCCAGTGTATTTATGACACTTTGCATAAATATATAGAATAAAATTATTTCCCCACTCAGGACAGTGCCCAGTACAGCTAGTGCTTGACTTACGACCATGATCGGTTCCGACAGACCAGTCGTAACACGATTTGGCTGTAAGTTGAGTAGGCTATATGTACAGTACTGTGAAATAATGTTATAAAAATCTTTAAGTCATATTTTATCATAATTTTCTTT